GCAGGGAGCCCGATGTGGGGCTCGATCCCAGGACCCTGGGATCATGACCTGAGCCGAAGGCAGACGCTTAACAACTGAGCCACCCAGGTGCCCCTATTTCACACATTCTTAAGTCAAAAAAGTTCCACCTATTTCCAAACTGCAACAGTAACAATGTGAAATAAAATTAACCTACTTAATTTATCACCAACAAGTATTTATTTAGCAACTACTATATGTCCAAAAACAATAAAATCTGTCTTAATCCTCAATCCCCAGTTTAATTAGGTGAAAAAAATTAACACACACAAAGAATAAGATAATATACAGTTGATGCTAATTTACAGGTTATCAGGATTCAAAAGAATTGTAAAGCCTGTCTAGTACAAGTCCAAGTCGTGTAACATTTGAACAAAATTTGTAGACGTGCTACAGAATTTAGAGAATTTAGACAGGAGAAAAAGCCAAAAAACACTTCACAAAAGGAAGTGGTACTTAAGCTGAGTAGAACCAAGTGAAGGCAGGAATATAAAAATTTACTTAACAAACATTTGTTGAGGGCCTATTATATATGAAGGAAAGTGCTAGGTGCAAATGATACAAAGATGCATAAAACACAATGCTTGCCTTCAAAATGCAGTCTATATTTTATACCATTTGCCAATAAAAGGAACCAGGGCTCCTCAGAGAAATGACCAATTCTGGGTGTAGGGCTAGAAATGTGTAAGATAAACCTGAGACTTCTGGGTCACACCCAAAGCCTGGGCTATACAGGAAAAAAAAATGCTATATTTAAGTATATATATTTGTGTCAAAAAGACTCAGAAGTATGATGGAACAGTTTGTAGCAGGCCAATGTTCCCACCAAGATTAATTAGCAAACCTGGATAAAATGAATCAGAATGCAGCTGAAACAAGTAAGACTAGGGTAACCAAAATTCCAGAGAGAGGTGAACTGCAAGGAGGTAAGCTGATATCCTGCATCCGAATTCTCCCTGGGACATTTGCCAAATCAAGGCACAGGATTAGAAGCTAAAAATCCAGGCTTTGCCCAGCTAGAGAACCAATTACTCAGGGAAAAAGAAACCAGCAAGACTGCAGGCAGACTTGCAAGGCTAGGGAGATAAAATTGGAGACTTGAGGGACCAAAAGAAGAAAGTAGAACTGAGCCTGTCACACGGCAGGTTTTCCCCTCAAGACGTGCAGAATTCTGAAACTGAAAGCCAAGTGTGGTAGACAAAATAATGGCCCTCTCAGTCCTAATCCCCAAAGCCTGTGAATAGGTTACCTTATACGGCAAAAATAAATAAATAAGTAAAAAGAGTTTTACAGATATATGATTAAGGATCCTGAAATGGGAAGAGTATCCTGGATTATCCAGGTGGGTTCAATGTAATCACAAGGGTCCTTATAAAAGTAAGGTGGTGGGAGAGTCAGAGAAATATTTGACGATGCTATGCTGCTGGCTTTGAAGATGGAAGAAGGGTGGGCGCCTGGGTGGCTCAGTTGGTTAAGTGACTGCTTTCGGCTCAGGTCATGATCCTGGAGTCCTGGGATCGAGTCCCACATCGGGCTCCCTGCTCGGCAGGGAGTCTGCTTCTCCCTCTG